GGTTTTAGTTGTTTTTTTTGTTGATTTTGAGTCTTTTTGAGGGTTTTTTAAAAGGAGGTTTTCCATCCCTTTAGTGGAGTCGAGTCATTTATTCATTCAGAACATTTAAAACCACGAAAACAAAGATTCACGAATGAACCCAACGAGTCCAGATATCGAGTTTGAGGCCCGACGGCGTCATAACAGGTTCACATGCAGGAGTAAAACTAAATCAGAACACAGCTTTATAAACAGAACGGTTCATTTTAGAGATTAATCTTCATTATAATTATTATTTTAAAATGTTCTTTATTGTGTTATGAAACGACACATGTTGTGAACTGGCGCTGTAGGAATAAAACTGCAATAAATTAAACCCTGATTTTTTAAAAAATTATTAAGAATAACTTGAGTAATTAAAAATATAAACCTTGAAAAATGTTTAAAAATAAATAAATAAATAAATCCGTGTTTCTCGTGAGCACGCTTTGATTTTTATATGTTCCTGAATTTTTTTTTAATTTGTTTGTTTATTCTATTTTTAATGTTATTATTCTAATTACATTATTAATTCTTATTATATATATGTAATTTTTTAAAATAAGCTTAATCCCTCAAATTGTATAAAAAAATAAAGTAAAACCAGTTTAAACTTTTAAGCTAAAGATTTTTTAAAATGCATATTTAGATGATTTTTAATTTTTTTTTTCATATTATTTTAAACTTCATTCCTCACATTTGCTGACTTGTAGGTTTGTAGATGCACTGGACTTTTTTCTGGATTTTTGGTGACAAATTATTCAGCTCTAAGTTAAAAACAAATAAACTCAAATAAATAAACATTTCAGGAAAATTCTTTTTAATAAGTACAGGATGTTTGGTGGAGGTGTTTCCCATCATTCGTAGATTAAAGAACAAATCAGACCGACTTGGATTTAATTGTTGATCTTCATCATTTGTGCTGTTTTAAAAAAGCTTCACTTGTTCATTAAATGTGAACGTGCAGAACATCCACTGAGCGTCTGTTGAATTGTGTGTTTCAGTCTCTGGAGAGCACACGCAGGATGGTCCAGCTGGTGGAGGAGGTAATAAACCACCATCACGTCACATGTTAATAAGAATCAGGACCAATAAAGTCCATCATCATCATCACTGCTGATAAACAGGACGGAAGCAGAGAAACAATGTTCTGGTCCAACGGGCTGATTAGTGCAGCTCAGAGGTGGAAATAGATTCAACTGTGAGCTGCTTCACTGATTTATTTCTGTTTCCTGCTGCATCTCAAAGGAACATTTTCTCCTTCTGCTGCATTCATCTGACGGTTTGTTTAAGACGCTGATCTGACACAAAGGAAACGAAAAGAAACAGTCGAGAAGTAAAGTTTCCATCAACTCATGAAGTCCACNATTCTCATTTCAAACAATCGTCTCTCCGGTTTCTCTCTCTGCAGGTGACAAAACCACCTGATGCTTAATCTGGTCGCCGGGGACTGAACACACACACACACACACACACACACACACACACACACACAAACATGGCCGACCCGCCCGTCCTATCAGAGCAGGAGGAGCTGCAGAGGAGAGCCAATCAGGTCACGGACGAGGTGAGCGACTCTCAGCATCGTGTCAATTATTAAAACCTCACACGGAGGCTTTTCCTGCGTTCAGACAGACTTTCAGAATTAATTTGAGGCTGTTTTTGTTGTAAAATGATCTCGTAGAAGAAGTTAATTAGACATTTAACGAGCTTATAATGACGGAGAAACTAGCAGCTGTTCAAGTTAAAGTCCTGCTGTAATTAAACACGAGGTATCGTTTGTAGAAGTACATTTATTCTGAAACATGCTTCACGAACCTGGACATCTCTGAGCTTTTACTTTGAAAGTGCGTCAATCAGCCAATCAGGTGTGAGTCCCTGGTTCAGGCGGTGAGCAGAGCAGCAGACCAAACATCAGACCCTCGACTAAACGCTCACAGCTCAGAAACCACGAGTCGTATTAAAAGAGTTCCTCCAGCGTGTGAAGCAGAATCCAGTCGTGAACGTTCTGACGTGTTTCCAGGTCCGTTCGGTGTTCTGTACGGATCCGGCAGCAGGTTTAAGAGACTCTGGTTCTGGTTCTTAGAGCTCAGAGGTAATGGGAGCGGATGGTCGACTCTCTGAGCTCTGAGCTGATTTATGAGCGACGACACTCACACTGGGTTAAAGAGGACACGAACACCCACAGTTTAATGTGTAGAGTGCTCACGTGGAGGGAAAACAGCGAGAAGGAAACGAGGCTAACGGCACTTTTTCAAAATAAAGGTTTTCTGGTCAAAATATAGCCAAAGAAAAATTCATAAAACTTAAACTGCACCTGCGTAAAAACCTTAAAAGAAATCAGATCATGGGTTTAGAGCAACAATATTCAAACTCTTGTGCGCCGTTTAAACGTTAAACAAAGGTTCTGCTGTAAACTCTGTCGAAGCCACAGGGCTCCAAATATGGCCGACTTCCCATTCATTTCAATGGGGACTTTTAACGCAGTTTTTTTTTTTTTTTTTAATTTCATAAAAATCATACGACGTATGGCTACGGGACGACACAGCGAAGCATTCCTGATCGAGCCGCACGTTTCGATGTATGATTTATGTGGATTTTGTCAAAACCGTGGGACGAGTTAGATGCCGAATATCACATCCGAAGAATCTCTGATGAGAATAAACCCAGAAATGATTTAATGAGTTAATTAAAATGTCCAGGAAACTGGTGGAGATTTAATTTGACAAAAGATGCAGAACACAGGATGTTTTACATCATGGAAGAAACTTTAAATGTAGAACAGAAGAGAATAGAATAGAATAGAATAGAATAGAATAGAATAGAATAGAATAGAATAGAATAGAAAACACAACTATAGATTAAAGAGGTGATGTATGTACACTATATATACGATGTAAATAAGAACAGGAACACTAGGACATTACAAACACACATTTCAGAGTATCTACATGAAAGAAGTGCAGTTGGGCCGTCATAACAGCAGATATCTGTAACATAAATGTATTTAAAGAACTTTATTTTTATGATTTTAAGACCAAAACAACCTTTAAATCTTTGATAAACTTCCAACAACAGACGATCCGACCGCTCACTGTCCACCTCGTATACATAAACGTTTATATTATTATTATTTTATTTATTTATTCTGTCTCCTGTTGCTCTGTTTGGAAATTATATTTATTGACTTTTGCTTATTTGGCCTCGTATCCAACAAACAGAAACTAAATCGAGCCGATCGGGTTCGTTTCGGCCCAGAGGGCAGCGCCGTCCCTTTAAAGACACCTGGCTCACCTGGTTACCGCGGAGACAGCTGGTCTCCCGGCGCCGCTACCACACACACCCAGGCACACACACACACACACACACACACACACACACACACTCTGGGGTTTAAAGGTTACTGCAGGTCG